CAGTGTCAAACACAAGAATTTTTCGTATGTTTCAAACAGCCATTTCATTTTGGTATACACCTTCTCTCACACATTTCATGTAGGCTCTTCAATATTAAAGTGCGAACATGTTGCGATTTATTACGTTTATTTGGACTGAAAGTTTTTAATGGAAACCCAGAAATGATCAAACATCAGCAGTCAACTATGAAAGACTGATGTGATCATGGCATGAATCTTTTTTTTTACAATTTAACGTTATTCTATCTGTTATTTTGTACGCAGCTGTTGAGATCTCGATTCAGATAATGATGAAGATCGTGATTCTTGCTGCATGCATATCAGTGTGCGGTGCCTTCAGTGATATTCGTTTTACGGTAACCTTCGACAGAATCAATCGTATGCTTCGGCATTATGAAGTGGGTATGTTAATAAGTAACAATAACCTCTCAAAAATGCTTTTACAAGATATGTGAATTCATTCTTAACGTGTGCAAGTCAACTAAAGCTTCGGACTTTTCAGTAGTGCGTGTGCTTGTTATAAGGAAGACCAGCAGCACAACCCGAGGTCCGTATGAAGTGAAAACAATCAGAGTTTTCAAGCAAGTAAGACAATATTTAAACCTTTTTCGAAAAATGGATTGCCTGCATTAAGCCCAAATATGTCAAGAGCTTCAATGTGACCCTGTACTCTCCTCGAACTAAAGTTATGCTCAGCCCAGGACAAGAATATCTACTTGGAGGCGAGGAGCTTCTCTCAATGGCTTGCTTGAGTTTAGATTCATGTTTTCAGGTTACATTAAATACCGTTATGGAAAAGGTGAAGTCCATGCATTGGCCGACAACTGTGAAATCTACTGCTCCCACTGCACACGTTTTCAGTGGGGCGTATTAACGAAGAAATACCTTGAGTATAGATGTGGCAGTAGAACTACATGTACGTAAATGGGTAGTCAGGGCGCCGTTTACTCAAATGACGTTGATGAATTTTGATGCTATGTTACAACGGAACGTCTAACTACTCAATCGCCTAATATAGTTAGCACCGAATAATTTTCGAATATTCGTATTCGAATGGTTCACTCGAACTAGAGAAGTTGAATATTCAGGAAAACGCACTTATTCTATTACTCGAATAGGCGAGTAAATGAAAAACACTTTTATTCGAATGTTTGTTTATTCGACGAATCGAATAAACAAATTATTCAAAAATTATTCGAATATTCGAATTTTCGAATAAAATTTCGAATAAGTTGTTTATCCGATTCGTCGAATAAACAAACATTCGAATAAAAGTGTTTTTTATTTACTCGCCTATTCGAGTAATAGAAGAAAATAACCGTCGTTGCGCGAGCTCTAATGTATCCAGAACTGTCATAGATTCGCTTTTCATTGAGATCACCAAGTTTGCACCTTTCTGTCTATAATAAAACCCAGTTTCGGATTTGCATCGTTAGACCACCACGTTTGCGGAGCCACCTTGGCTGTTCTGCCTTCAGTGATTTTCTCGCTTTAGAGTTCATCATCTGCAGTGAGATTGGGTGACAGCTTAGTTAGGAGCCGCGCTATTAGCATCAAAATCTCATCATCCTCATTTTGGGTGGTGATGCCATCAAGCGTTTGTTAATAATATTTCTGCCTTATAGTCTTTTATTATCGGGTATGGATGGCTTTGTTAGAAATAAAAAAATTCTTGAAAAAACTAGAGCAAGTCGTCGGAGTAGCTAGGATTTCAAGTGTTTTTTCGAGTACCAAGCGCTGAACAGAAATGGGGTGCGGACACTACAATACCGCTCACATTTTTTGAAAAATAGATGCGACTGTCCATACATGTCGCTAGATGTATGGACATGTCACATGTATGGACATGTAGCGACATGTCCATACTTGTCCATACATGTCGCTACACGTATGGACATCACCGTCGCGTGGCCCTATCTCGCTTCAGAGTGGACGAATTCTAGATCCAAAGCCACCATTTGATTCAGCTCGGCGCGGAGATTCTTCTGATATATTGGAAGTGGGGCTATGATGTCTTCGATATTCCGCTTCCAGGTTTCTCAAATTCTTCTGCGGAGGTCCTTTCGCGAATATGTGAAGCAGCGCCTATCCAACATAAATGACTTTGCTCAGCACTATTCGGTAATACTGTTCTTGTAGATTATTGAGCGCCGGAAAATAGGCTCAGACTTCTTTCCAAAGCAGATAGAAGGGCTGGTGAATTGCGAAAAAATCTTGTCGTCCCAAATTCTACTCGCCATAGCCCTAGAATACGAAGCTATCTTGCTAAGCAGATGTGTTTCGAAATCAGCAGGCCGGATAACCTCTATGAGCAAGTTTTTCGAGATGTTTTGGATTATTTCATTTTCTGTCGTTTTACGCTCTGAAGCTCGCCGATGGATTTTGGTCAAAATATTGATGTCTTGAATTGTAAGGAAACTTCGCTTATAGAGGTTCTCGAACACGCTCTTTACGAAAATCGTGGTCTTTGAGTATTATGGGGTCTTTTTGAAGAGATACGGTGAGGTGACTGTAACTGCACCACGAAAGCGCGTAATTTGCCCGCGCTTCTCGCGTATCTGTCACAAAACTTGCCTGCTTGCTTTTCTAGGTCAATTTAAATAGAAACTGTGCTACCGAATGGTGCATGACTCAGGCTCCAGTCTATGAAAATCGCTGAGTTACGAACCTATGAAAACATGTACTTATGAATTTTGCCCAAAAGGTAAAGTCGCAAATCTCGTCGAAATTCCACCGTGAGCGCTTGTATGACGCTAGCATTGCGGTTACTATGTTCGCTTCGCCCAACGACCCTCACTGTATTGAATATGGTGCTTGCATGTGCTTCAGCTGCTCAATTAAATATCAAAGTTATTTCGTGGCTAGCTAGAGCTCAAACTACCAAATCTAACACAATAAGATTTATTAAAGAAGTGAAAAGATTTAATCCGCGTGTTATACAAGCGCTCACGGTGGTATTTCGACGAGATTTGCGATCTTTACCTCCTGGGCAAAATTCATGAAGACGTGTTTTCATAGGTTCGTAACTCGGCGATTTTCACAGACTGGAGCCTGAGTCATGCACCATTCAGTAGCACAGTTCCTATTTACTTTGACCTAGAAAAGCAAGCAGGCAAGCTTTTTGACAGATACGCGAGAAGTGCGGGCAAATTACGCGCTTTCGTGGTGCAGTTACAGTAACCTCACCGTATCTCTTCACAAAGACCCCATAATACTCAAAGACCACGATTTTCGTAAAGAGCGTGTTGAACCTCTATAAGCGAAGTTTCCTTACAATTCAAGATCATCAATATTTTGAGCAAAACCCATCGGCGAGCTTCAGAGCGTAAAACGACAAAAAATGAAATAATCCAAAACATCTCGAAAAACTTGCTCATAGAGGTTATCCGGCTTGCTGATTTCGAAACTTACACCTGCTTAGCAAGATAGCTTCGTATTCTAGGGCTATGGCGAGATAATTTGGGACGACAAGATTTTTCCGCAATTCACCAGCCCTTCTATCTCCTTTGGAAAGAAATCTGCGGCTACTATTCAGCGCATCATAATCTACAGAAAAAGTACTATCAAAAGGTCTTTGCTGGAATTTACTCGCTACAATGCTAGCTGCTTTACACCTTCGCGAAGAGACGTCCGCAGAAAGATTCAAGAATACCGAAATCGAAATATCAAAGATATGCTGTACAACAGAAGATTCGCCTTGATGAACTGAGCACAGCGCTCTTTTCGGATTCGAAATATACTTATCCCGAAGAAAGTTATGGCGAGTAGAATTTGAAACGTGTGGTTTTTCCAGAATTCACCAACGCTTCTACCTGCTTTGGAAAGAAGTCTGAGCCTATTTTTTGGCGCTCAATAATCTACAAGAACAGTATTACCGAATAGTGCTGAGCAAAGTCTTCTATGTTGGATAGGCGCTACTTCACATATTCGCGAAAGGACCTCCGCAAAAGAATTTGAGAAAACTGGAAGCGGAATATCGAAGACATCATAGCCCCACTTCCAATATATCAGAAGAATCTCCGCGCCGAGCTGAATCGAAAGGTGGCTTTGGATTCAGAATTCGTCCACTCTGAAGCGAGATAGGGCCACGCGACGGTGATGTCCATACGTGTAGCGACATGTATGGACATGTATGGACAATCGCGTCTATTTTTCAAAAAATGTGAGCGGTATTGTAGCTAACTTACGCCGCTAGTGAACAGGTGCGCTAGCTCAAGAACTTCGCACCTGTCAACCAGCAGCGTGAATCACAAGCCCCTGCTTGCTCTAGCAACTGATGCTCAAGGATACACCTATTCTTAGTTTTCATCACAGCTCACTGTTTGATGTTCTAATATTTCTTATGCCGCACAGGTTGGTACATTTATTTTATTACAGCTCACTGTGACTCGTTCAAGCGCCTCAGCGAGAATAACATCTCAAACAAGTCCTCAGTGCTCCGCTGCAATATTTCCATTTCAAAACAATGATGCGAATATCTTTGTTAATTGA